GTGTGTGTGTGTGTGTGTGTGCCCAAGATTCCGAGAAGAGAATGGAGGAGAAGGGATTGCAGCATGGCCATCCCCCATAGGGGGTGATTTCTCGCTTTCTGCCTCTCTTTCTCTGTCTTTCTGGTAAGCACATGCACCCTATAGCAAAAAACCTCTCCCAAATAAATAAATAAATAAATGTAAAGAATTATTTTATTTTGGGATCAGCAAGTGGCGTGGTGGTTAAAGGTGCTGGACTCCCACATAACTGACCTCGGTTTGAGTCCTCGACCTGGTGGCTTGCTTTCTCACTTTCCTTTTCCTTCTCCCTCTCCCTCTCTCTGTGTATCTCTCTCTCTGGTCGAATTAAAATATAAGTGAATGAATAAATAAAATTAAATAATTCTCTAAAAAATTATTTTATTTAACTTTTTATTTATTTTAATTTCACCAGAGAGGGGACAGAGTGAAAGAGGGAGAAGCAAGAAAACAAGTCACCAGGCCCAGTGCTCAAACTGCAGTGGGCCATGTGGCAGTTTAGTGTCCTTAACCACCACACCACCTGTGGGTCTCTTACTGATTTTTTTCTTTTTTTTAAAGGTTTTTGCCAGAGGGCATCTGCATTCTACAGAGAGAGGGAAAGTGAGAAATCTCCCAGGGGGAACAGCCATGCTACAATCCCTTCTCCATTATCCTTTTGGGATTTTGGGCATACACACGCACACTCATATATACATGTGCCCAGTGTGATTTTCAAACCACTAGGCCCACTACTTGAACCATGATTGGACATGTGGGAGTCCAGTGCCTTAACCACCATACCACCTACTGGCCCCACACTTTCCTTTCTTTAAAAAAAAAAAAAAATTTTAATTTGACCAGAGAGAGACATAGAGTTAGAGAGAGAAAGAATGTAAGAAAGCAAGCCACCAGGTCCGGGACATGAACCACAGTCAGCCATGTGGGAGTGTCCAGTGCCTTGACCACCATGCCACCTGCTGGTCCCCTGGCCCACACTTTCTGTCATTTAAGAAAAGGAAAACAGTACCAGCAGGTGGTATAAAGGTCAAGGAAGCGGGAACCAGCAGTTAGCGTAATGGCTATTACGCTGGACTCTCACGTAGTCGACTGCAGTTCGCGTCCCGGACCCAGTGGCTTAAAACTCACGCCGGGTGCATGTGCGTGCGTGCCCAAGATCCCAAGAGGAGAATGGAGAAGGGATTGCGGCATGACTATCCCCTCTGGGGGGTGATTTCTTGCTTTCTGTCTCTCTGTTTCTCTCTGTCTGTCTGGCGAGCGCACATGCCCTATAGCAAAAACCTCTCCGAAAAAAAACAAAAACAAAAACCTCAACTAGTCGTATGTATGTATAAACTATTTCTAGAAAGCCAAGTATATAAAACGTAAAAATAAGAGATCAGAAATTAAAAATGACAATTTATTGTATTTTGCTAAGATTTTATCATTTTTCAATTAAAATGAAGAGTTTTGTTAAATGAAGTATAACATTTACGTTATTAAAAAATGTCATTTTCCTGCAATTGCCAGCATATCAAAACAGGGAAATCTGATAGTCTTAAAATTATTCTCTTGTTTGTTTCAGAACACCAAAAAGCTTTGGAAGATTTCACACTTGAAAATATTCTTTCCCATATTTATTATTTTCGTTGTCATGACTATACAGAGCTACTGGCACAAGTTTATCTCCTTCAAGATTTTCTTTTGGAGCACTCAAAGGTATGCTTAAACTAACCAGGTGTCTTTGAAGGTGTTTGAGAAGCATGAAAAATAACTAGTACAATAGCATAAAATTACAGTCAAAAGGATTGGCCCTGTTGCAAAGGAGTTAAGGGAGCCAGGTCCCACATGGCCAATCACAGTTCACATCCCACCCTAGTTGCTTGAAAAAACATACTAGATGTGTGTGTATATGCCTCAAATCATGACAGGATAGAAAATGGAGAGGGGATTGTGGTGTGACCACACTCCATTGGAGGACACTTACTCCCTCTCTATGTCACTCTCTCTCTCTTTCTCGTCAGCACTTGTGTCCTCTGGCAATTAAAAGAAGTATCATGGGGCCAGCAGGTAGCATGGGGTTAGTTAAGGGGCTAGATTCCCACATGGCTGACCAGTTTGAGTCCCCGACCTGGTGACTTGAAACACATGCTGGATGGGGACCAGCAGTTAGTGTAATGGCTATGTCGCTGGACTCCCACGTAGTCGACCGCGGTTCATGTCCTGGACCCAGTGGCTTAAAACTCACGCCGCGCGCGCGCGCACGCGTGTGTGTGTGTGTGTGTGTGTGTGTCCAAGATCCCTAGAGGAGAATGGAGGAGAAGAGATTGCGGCGTGGCCATCCCCCCTTGGGAGGGTGATTTCTCGCTTTCTGTCTCTCTGTCTCTCTCTGTCTGGCGAGCGCACCCACCCTATAGCGAAAAACCTCTCAAAAAAAAAACAAAAAAAAACAAAAAAAAAACCATGCTGGATGCATGTGCATGCATGCCCAAAATCCTGAGGGGAGAATGGAGAAGGGATTGTGACATGGCCTTTCCCCCTGGAGAGCTATTTCTCACTTTCCCTTTCTCTGTCTCTCAGGCAAACACATGTATCCTATGGCAAAAACCTAAATTTTTTTTTAAAAGTTCAAAAGCCAATTATTCCTTCTCTGTAATTTATTTTGTATGCACACATGTGTGTATACATACATATGTAGATTATGCCCAGAGTAAAAAATGGCAATAATATAGAAAGATATTCCAACTGTAGTAGTTACGGAATAGTTCCTGTCAAACTTGTCTAAAAAGGTATGAAATGGAAAAAAAAAAAAAAAAGTTCTCTTCTGTTACTGCTTTCTAGTGCCTTTCCCTAGAGTTGACCACTATTATGAGGTTTTTTATTTATTTTTTTTTTAGAGGTTTTTGCTATAGGGCGCGTGCACTCGCCAGAAAGACAAAAGAGAAACAGAGAGACAGAAAGTGAGAAATCACCCCCCAGGAGGGATGGCCACACTGCAATCCCTTCTCCATTCTCCTCTCGGGATCTTGGGCATGCACGCACACATGCCCGGTGTGAGTTTAAGCCACCAGGTCCGGGACTCGAACCGTGGTTGACTACGTAGGAGTCCAGCAACATAGCCATTACACCAACTGCTGGTCCCTAAGAGGTTTTTTTTTTTTAAAAAAAAAACTACTTTATTTAACTTTATAAATTTTATTTATTTATTTTAATTTGACCAGAGAGGGACAGAATAAGAGTGCGAGAGAGAGAGAAAGTAAGCCACCAGGTCTGGAACTTGAACTATAGTCAGCCATGTGGGAGTTCATAGCTCTTCACCACCACCACCTGCTTGCCCTACTAATAGTTTTTTAGAAAAATTTTGTACATATTACAACATTTACCCATTTTAAACATTTGTTAGTGGGATTATGCTGTAATTTTTTTAAAAAATGTAATTCTTTTTTAAAATAAGTATTGTTATTTTTAAATTTTGCTATAGGATGCGGGAGAGAGGAAGAGAAAGTGAGAAAGCAAGCCACCAGGTTCAGGACTTGAACTGCTGCTGGCTGTGTGAGAGTCTAGCAGCTCAACCGCCATGCCACCTGCTGGCCCCCCCAAAATGTATTTCTTCTAATCTGCATATAACCTGTTGGTTAGGGAGCTATATCCCACATGGTTGACTGCGTGATTTGAGTCTTGGACCCAGTGGCTTGAAAAACATGCTAGATGAGTGCCTGTGTGTGTCCAAAATCCTTAAGGAGGAATGGAGAAGAAGGGATTGCAACGTGACCACACTCCCTTCGGGGGCAGGGGTGTTCTCCCTCTCCCTCTGTTTGGTTCTGTCTCTCTGATGAGCACGTGTCCTCTGACCAAAAAAAAAAAAAAAAAAAAAAAGCTGTTTGATTCTGTGGCCTGGTAGTTAAAGGAGCTAGATCTCACATGGCCTACCCTGTGGTTCAAGTCTCAACTCTGGTGGCTTGAAAAATAATCTGGATGCAAGTGTACCCATGTCCTAAATCCCTACTGGCTAGAGAAATAGAAAAGGGATTGTTGCTGACCATGCCACATTGCCACATTGGGAGATGCTTTCTTCCTTTCTGTTTCTGTGTCTTTCTAGTGAGCACATGTACTCTTTGGTAAATTTTTTCAAAAAAGAAATACAACTGATTTTTTTTTTTTTTTTTTTTTTTTTTGCTATAGGATGCAGATGCTTGGGGGAGAGAGAGAAAGACATAGAGAGAGGGAAAGTGAGATATTGTTCCCCCAGTGTGGATGGCCACGCTGCAGTTCTCTCTTCTCTTAGGGTTTGGGACACACACATGCATGTATCAGTGTTTTATGTGTGGTGGTTTTATTTGCCTTTTTTTCATATATATTCATTAGTTTTACTCCCCCCCCCCAAGTTTTTGCCATAGGGCATGTGTACTCACCTGAAAGAGACAGACAGTGAGAGGGAAAGTAAGAAATCACTCCCCAGGGAGGATGACCATGCTACAATCGTTTTTCTTCCATAGTCTTCCTGGGATTTTGGGCATGCACGCACACACACAGGTGAGCTTCAAGCTGCCAGGTCCAGGACTCAAGCCCTGGTTTGCTATGTGAGAGTCCAGCACTTTACCCATCATGCTACCTGCTGGCCCGCCAATGTGTTTTTCTTTCTTTTTGAGAGAGTTTGCTGTAGGGCATGTGCACTCACCTGAGAAACAGAGAGAGACAGAAAGTGAGAAATCACACCACATGGGGATGGCCATGCCACAGTTCCTTCTCCTCCACTCTTCTCTTGGGATTTTGGACACAAATGCACACATTCCCAGCATGACTTTCAAGCTGCTGCATCCAGGGCTCAAATCACTGTTGACCACGTGGGAGTCCAACACCTTAACCATTATACCACCTGCTGCCCCCTCCCCCCCTTCCCCCACAATGTGTTTTTCAAGCCACTGGTTCTGGATTCATACTGCACAGTCATGTGGGATCCTGCACCATAACCACCACACCACCTCTGGCCCACAACTGATTTTTTGTGGGAAGCTGCACACCAGCGAGTCTGCCGAAGTTTCTCAGAGGGCAAACAATTACCATGATTGGTTCCCTTCCAAAAACCTGACCTTCGAAACCTTGCTCTGATTGGCCACTAGAATCCCTCAAATTTGCATATCCGGCACCTCATGATTGGTCCAAAAGCAACCCATCATAACCAACGATTAACAACCAATCACGACCCACCGTTTACAACCCACCAGAGTGTATATAACCACGATGCCTGGCCCACAGTAGCCAGACGAC